GCTCCCCTTGGCTGTGGCTCCCCTGGCCCTCACCGGTGCCACACAACGCAGCCCCTGCCGTGACACCCCCAGGCTGGCACCGCCACAAGCCCTTCCGTGGGCCAAACCGCTTACAAGCACATGCATAAAATGTACCTCATCGTGACCTTGCCTTTGTGGAGAAGGAGCCATTCCCTACTCTCTTGAAATCCCAAACCCCAAGGTGCACGGAGCAGGTCTTCCTAGATGCACGCGCAGCACCTGGCACAGACGGGACCACGTCTGAAGGATGCCCAAAGCTGAGGGCTAGGACCCACGGAGGAGGGAAAGCGGGCAGCCGCTGAGCAGGGTAAGATCATCACACTCAAGTTGGGCTTGAGCCTAGCTTCTCCTTGTGCTGGGTGAGCCCAAGGGCCCATCCCTGCCTACCCCAGGGCCAGAGGCGTTGCAGGCTGCAACTTCCCCAAGCAAGCCTGCTCCATGCACCATTGATATCTTGCACCAGGGAGGGGCTCAGACAATTAAAACCAGCCCTCGGGGTCAAGGCTTCTGAATTCTAGCCCCACTGCAGTAGGGAGAGCAGCCTGGCGAGTGGCCACGGGCACAGCCCCCAGCCACAACGACTGGAGATGCTGAGCAGGTCAGGGTGGGCAGGCCTGTGGCTGACATGGGCAGGGGGAGAAACTTGAGGATCTCTCCCAATCTGACCAGCTCTGCTTCCCCAACAGCAACACAACTGGAGCTGGGGTCATCTGGCCCCAAGCACTTTTTCCTGCCTGAGGCAGGGGGTCGGACTTGACGACCTACTGAGGTCCCTTCCAACCCTAACATCTATGAATCTATGGAGGGAGATCATCAACAGGAAGCTGAAGATCCCACAGGGGCTGCTTGGCACTGTGGCGGGTGCAGAGATCCCACCTCAGGAAAACAGCCGGGTATTCGTATCCCACTGCTATTTCCACCATGTGAGGCGGGCCAGTAGGGGGCGCTTCTGCGTTGAGCCGCCCACCTCCCTGTGCCCGACCACCTTCCAGGCTCCGAATGCCTCCCTAGGGGCGCCTTATGTCCGGCCAACCCCTCTCCCAAAGCACACTCGCTAGTCTGGGGGTAACGTGCTGCCACCACCCCGAGTGGACTGTCTCGGCCCTGTGTCCTCGGGGAAACACAGGCCTAATAGTCCTACAGGTACTCAACCCAATACAGGCACTTGGGGTACTTCCCCAAGTCCGGGGGAAAAAGGAAAGTCTCCCTTGGTCTGCAGACCTAAGGGGTCTCTCTGGGCAAGCTGTTCAAGAAAATTATTCTGGCACACATCCAGGAGGGGCCAGCAGGGAACGGCATGCTCAGGGGCAACCAGTATGGGTTCATCAGCAGCAGGTCCTGTCAGACCAACCTGGTGGCCTTTTACGACCAGGTCACTAAATCATTGGATGCAGGGGTGGCAGTGGATATAGTTTTCCTAGACTTCAGGAAGGCTTTTGA